GAAACAACACCCGTAGGAGCTTTCGAATCTTCCGCTAAACCAGGTCGAGCGTCAAATAATGCGTTAATTTTTTGCTTGGCTGCGAACGAAGCTGTGTATTGCGAGTAGTATCTGCCGACTAGGACGTAGAGTGTGTCGCTAACCTGGCGCGCGGAGCAGCATAGAGGCGGGGGACTGAGGGGGTCAAGCGGGTGAGAGGGCGGGGAGGGAACCCATGGCCCCCAGTGCGCAGCTATCCGGGGGTAGCGATCCGAAGTCTAAGGTAGAAATCACGGATCTGTGGGTGAAAAACTCGTCAAAGCTCACAGCGACAAAGTCCGATAGAGGCCTTTATCCCACGACAGGAGAATCTGACGGAAAAGAAGGGGAGCCTTTGCTTCCGGATAAAGTGGAGAAGAGCGTAGAGGAGGTGAAGCAGCTGGTGCGGAGTAGAAGCGCGAAGCAGTTCACGTGGGTGCTCTTGTTGAAAGCGCACAAGGCGGCGGGGTGCGTGGCGTGGCTGGGCTATGCCATCGCCTCGCTGTTTAAAAATCTTGGAACAAGATTGTCGGAGGACGATCAAGAGGATGACGAGGAGGAGGAAGAGGATGACTACGAGGGGTTAAACGCGCGGCCGTCGCAACGACTGCTATGGACGCTAAGGGTGCTGTCCGTGCTGTCGTTAGCGCTGCTTGCGTTCGAGGTTCTGAGCCATTCGAGCGAGCTGGAATGGGAGTTTCAGCTGCACAACCCCACCAAGCACGTCATGCCGCTCATCGCCTCCATCACCGCGCGATTCCACGCCATCACGCAGGACTGGGTCAACATCAGGTAATCATTGTCTTTGCCCGCTGCTTCGGGCAGTATCTGTCCTCATTACGGCTTACAAAAAGTTGGTGTACGTCTGGCGACGTACATGCAAGCTTGGTGATTTTTCTTACAGGGGCCTTATCATGTTTACCACGTCCTTCGTGTGAACCTTCATTGCTTTCGGGGCTCTCAACTCTCTCCGTGCCTTGCATTTTGATCTCCGCAGGACGCAATACATCGCGCCGCCATTGCAGTGGTTCGCGAACGCGTGCATCTACCTGTTCCTCGTGCAAACCGTGGACCGGCTCGTGCTGTGTCTGGGGTGCATCTGGATCAACGTCATGGGCATCAAGCCGCGCTGTCAACCGCTCGCGCCCTACGACCCGGAGGAGGCGGGGCAGTCGTACCCTATGGTGCTCGTGCAAATCCCCATGTGCAACGAGCGCGAGGTAAGCGCTTCCAAGTCCCCTGCTTCGCAACAGACCATATTTGCATTGCGTTTCCACAGCTCCAGCGGATGCCATTTCAGGGTTTTGACTTACATTCGTACGTTTTCCCCGCCACGCTCATGTCGCGCGTGCAGGTGTACGACCAGTCTATCGGAGCGGCGTGCAAGCTGGAGTGGCCGAGAGAGCGCATGCTGATTCAAGTGCTGGACGACTCGAGCGACGACGAGATTCAGAAGCTCATCGAAGCGGAGTGCCTCATGTGGCAGCAGCGCGGCTACCCCATCATCTACCGTCACCGCGTCATCCGCACGGGCTACAAGGTCAGAATTACTCTTTATTCTATACTAGATCTCCCCCAATTGAGTCCCCCATTTCATCGTTCAGACCGTCATGCGCAAGCGTCTCACGGACTCCCACTCGTTCGGAATCACGTTAGTCTTTTAGTTGTCTCATGCCCTCCCCCCTCTCGCTGTGGCTCCCCATCGTTGTCTCGCGGCGTCGCGATGCAGGCGGGCAATCTGCAGAGCGGCATGAACTGCGAGTACGTGAAGAAGTACGAGTTCGTCGCCATCTTCGACGCCGACTTCCAGCCGAAGCCGGACTTCCTCAAGCTCACCGTGCCGCATTTTAAGGTAACGCCTACTTTTCATCATCGCTGTGATTTTTAGGAACTCGTACTCCCTGAAACTGATCTCCCATCCTCACCGTGTTTCCTGCTTCGCCATCGTCATCCTGCTCGTCGTCGTCGGCAATTGTCAGAGCTTCCTGATCTGGTTCGCGTAAATCTAAAGGACTTTTTTACCCGTTAACCGCAGAAGAGCTTTCGTCGGTCTAAAGACGCTTCCATCCAACGGATTGCTCGTCCCGCCTTCCCTTTCCTCCCCCCCCCCCCCCACACCTCCTCTCGCACTCCCCCTCCCCCTTCCCCCTTTTCAGAACAACCCAGACGTGGCACTGGTGCAGGCGCGGTGGAACTTCGTGAACAAGGACGAGAACCTGCTGACGAAGCTGCAGACGATCAACCTGCGCTTCCACTTCGAGGTGGAGCAGCAGGTCAACGGCGCCTTCATCAACTTCTTCGGCTTCAACGGCACGGCGGGCGTGTGGCGCATCACGGCGCTCGAGGAGTCGGGGGGCTGGATGGACCGCACGACGGTCGAGGACATGGATATTGCCGTGCGCGCGCATCTGAAAGGCTGGAGATTTCTGTTTCTGAACGACGTGGAGGCGATGTGCGAGCTGCCCGAGTCGTACGAGGCGTTTCGCAAGCAGCAGCACCGGTGGCACTCGGGCCCGATGCAGCTGTTTCGGTTGTGTCTGCCGGATATTATCACGGCGAAGATCGCGCTGTGGAAGAAGCTCAACATGATTTTCTTGTTCTTTCTGCTGCGGAAGATGATTCTGCCCTTCTATTCGTTCATGCTCTTCTGCATCATCCTGCCGCTCACCATGTTCGTGCCCGAGGCGCAGCTACCGCTGTGGGTCGTGTGTTACATCCCGGGCATTATGTCGCTCCTCAACGTCCTCCCCTCGCCTAAGTAAGCCTTCGCGAAACATAAAGACGAACGTTGGATATCCGTCTCATCGTTCCCTCCCGTCGCCTTCGGCCACGTTTTGGGCTTTTCCTGCACCCTCACCATTTTGTGTTTGTTTCTTCCCTTACCCAAGATTAACTCGTTTGATCCCTTACCCGCCCTCCGTTTCGCAATCATTTCAAGCTCCCAGCATCTTTCTCCGCCATCTTCACGTTCCCATAACCACCCCGTGGCGTTCCCCCATGCGTTCCCCCATGCGTTCCCCGGCAGGTACTTTCCGTTTATGATTCCGTACCTGCTGTTCGAGAACACCATGAGCGTCACCAAGTTCCAAGCCATGATCGCGGGGCTCTTCCAGCTCAAGAGCGCGCACGAGTGGGTCGTCACCAAGAAGTCTGGCCGACCCACCGACGCCGATCAACCGCTCGCAACCACCGCTTCCGAACCACTGGTCAGTGAACCGCGCGGTCTGAGGGTTTAAGCGCAGCGCGAGTTTATCGAAGGGTGTGAGTGAAGGGAGAGGTCGTTTGCCCCCTCGCGTCGCAAAACCCTCTCAAATTTCTCACCTGCCCCCTTCGGAACGCATGCAAACATCCCTCTCTGCGTCGTCTGACCGTTTTGATGCACAGGGCACTCTGAAACCGAGCAAGTCTGTTGCGAATATCTCTCGGCCGTCTACACCACCAGCTGCTTTCACCCGCACCGCAAGCGAGGGCATGCTCAACGTTCGGATAGAGGATCAGCTTAAAGTGAAGATAGATCAACCTTTGCTGACAACACCTCCCAAGAGTACAGAGGCCATCACACTATCAAAACCGATTGGAAGAAAGTGAGTGCTCTACAGCCAAACATAATCAACTCCCAACCCTGTTATGTTGGGTGGCAAAGATATTAAATTGCTTTGGCTCTTGTCTCTTTCCCCTTGCTTCATCACCTCCTTTTTGTCCCTCCCTCCCCAACCCCGTTTCCCAGACTGTACAAGAATGAGTTAGCGCTGGCGCTGCTGCTGCTAGTGGCGGCGGCGAGGAGTCTGCTGACAGTGGCGGGGATGCACTTCTACTTCCTGCTCTTCCAGGGCTTCACCTTCCTCATTGTCGCCCTCGACCTCATCAGCGACCGCCAATAGCTGCTTCCTCTGTCCGCTGTCTTGTCGCTCCATTCGCGATCGTTTGAACCATCCATTGACCCGACCATGGCTCATTTGTGGCATCATCCACTGGCCCCATCCACTGGCCGATTCCTGCAATGTGCACCAACAGCAATCGCTGGTCTCACCTCCACCAACCCTCGTCACTGCCATTGACTATGTAACTCCACTCACCAATGGATGCGAGCTGCTGCTGCTGCTGCTGACTGCTGTGTGGTTCTTGCTGTGCTGAGGCAACTTCCTAAGCCTGTGAAGTCCTCTTGGTGCATATCTCATATCCCCTGAGGTGGCACAAGAAGGCTGTCAAGCTTAGGGGGAGGGGGAAAAAGGAATTTACAGCCGGTGAATGCTTGAATTTGCTGCTAGAAGCATTTCGTCGGTTGGGCCCCCTCGGGTGGGCCATTCCGGCCTAAGTGTGTTGAGCTTACCATCGAGGCTAGACGTTGTAGTGGGCTTTTGTATTCTGCCTCCCTTAGGTGTATCCCTTAGGAAATCTTAGATAACATAGTGCATGTGGGTGCATTGTCTCGAGTAATAAAATGATGCACACACTTATTGGTAGTAATTTGTTTACATTCGTTAACAAAAATCGCTTGTAATATCCTTTATGCTTCGAATCCTTCTGTACATTAGCGCAGATGGCGACTTGAGATGAGAAGCCCCTGCCTTCAGCTTATTCACAGGTTGGATTCGAAGCGGTGTTGTGCCATGCTTGTGTTCTCGTCACTCTCGATCCTCGCGCTAGGTCTTCGCAGACACGCCGATCATAACCCGCGCCGCTCGTTCCAGCGCTTAGGGTGAGCGGAAGCAAAGTACGCATTGCACAGTTGATCACACCGAGCCAAGTTCTTCTTACCGAACACGCTGCAGCTGCGCGACTCCCCGCGCGGCCTCTCCCTGCGAGCGATTCTGCCTCTCACGTACGTGCGAACTGCAGTCCACATCCATCGCGCGCCGCCTCATTCACGCCGCGCTGTGCTGTCAGGCGCCAGTGCCAACACACGAAGCGACGAGTTCGTTAAAAGCAACCGCCGCGCAGCCGGAGGAGCGCGGGTTGCGGGATAGCAGCAGGGCGCGGCGATGCAGAGCCTGGGTCGCGAGCTGGGCAGCCCGCCGGCGGACGGCATCTCGAACGTGCGCTTCTCGAACCACTCGGACCACCTCCTCGTCGCCTCCTGGGACTCCGTGAGTGCCTCCTGGGACTCCGTGAGTGCCGCCTGGGACTCCGTGAGTGCCGCCTGGGACTCCGTGAGTGCCGCCTGGGACTCCGTGAGTGCCGCCTGGGACTCCGTGAGTGCCGCCTGGGACTCCGTGAGTGCCGCTTGGTCCGACTGACGCATGGATACCGTGGGATGGGATGGGATGCCGTGAGTGGCGTGTCAGTGTCATGCTGCGGTGAGTGGCGTGTCATGCTGTGAGCAGCGCCGTGCCTCTGCTGTGGCGGTGCACCGTGGGATGGGATGCTGTGAGTGGATTCTCCAACCACTCGGACCGTGAGTGGATTCTCCAACCACTCGTCGCCTCCGGGGACTCCGTGAGTGCCTCTTGCCGTGTGCCGTGCTGTGAGTGCCGCCCGCTCTCACCCATCCACACGCTGCACGCATGCCATCGTGAGTGCCGCCTGCTGTGCCGTGAGTGAAGTGGGGTGCTGTGGGTGGCGCCTGCTCTGACCTGACTGACGCATGGATACCCACCTACCATGGGATGCTATGCTGTGCACATGCGCGTGCCATACCGCTTTGTTGCTGTGCGCGTGCCGTGCTGCTTTTTTGCTGTGCGCGGGCCGTGCCGCTTTGTTGCTGTGCGCGTGCGGTCACGCGTGCTGTCACCATGAGTGACAGTCATCCGTGCAGTCACGTGTGCTTCCATCCGCCTGTCCACGCCCCGCTGCATGCTGTCTTCTTTCCAGGCTCACAACGCGCCTGCCCCTCGCCAATAGCGCCTGCATCCTCTTCCCCCCTCCCCTCCCCACCTCCCCCCCTCCCCCTCCCCCTCCCCCTCCCTGTGATGCCGCGTTCAGAACCTGCGGCTGTACGATGCGGGCGCCAACACGCTGAGAGGCACGTTTCCTCCTCACCAGCGCTGAGAGGCATGTTTCCTCACCAGCGCTGAGTGAGAGGCACGTTTCCTCACCAGCGCCTGAATCACCCAACCCCGCTCCTTCCTCCCCCCTCACCTTTCCCACCCCTCCCGCTTTCCCCCCCTCCCCTGCTCAGAACCTGCGGCTGTACGATGCGGGCGCCAACACGCTGAGAGGCACGTTTCCCCGCCGTGGGCCGGTGCTGGACTGCTGCTTCCACGACGACAGCTCCGGCTTCGCTGGCAGCGCTGATCAATCCGTGGTGCGGTGAGTTCAGGAGGACAATATGGGGAGTGGGAGCAGGGGGAGGAGAGGCAAGGAGGGCGATTGCATCAAGACTGCTCGTCTGGCTGGCCGTTCCTTGTTTGATGAGAGTGCCTTGTTTGATGAGAGTGCCTTGTTTGATGAGAGTGCCTTGTTTGATGAGAGTGCCTTGTTTGATGAGAGTGCCTTGTTTGATGAGAGTGCCTTGTTTGATGAGAGTGCCTTGTTTGATGAGAGTGCCCCGCAAAGCATGTCTTGCTGCACAGAGAACGTTTTCGGAGAGCACTGAAGAGAAGTGCGTGCGTGCATGGGGGGGCTGTGGCTGAGTCTCAGAGTGGCTGAGTCTCAGAGTGGCTGAGTCTCAGAGTGGCTGAGTCTCTGAGTGGCTGAGTCTCAGAGTGGCTGAGTCTCTGAGTGGCTGAGTCTCAGAGTGGCTGAGTCTCAGAGTGGGTTCTGGGTCCATCGGTGCGTTTGTTGACCCTCAGCACGGCACGGCATGGCTAGTGGCTCTGCTGGTGGATGGGCACCCGCTGTGAACGTGCAAACACGAGTGGTCAAATGGTGTGCATGTGACATCACACTTACACACTCATTCCACATCCTCACTCTCGTCTCAACGTGCTGTCCCTGCTGTGCCTTGCGACTGCTGTGATTGCTGCGATGCGACTGCTGTGATTGCTGCGATGCGACTGCTGTGATTGCTGTGATTGCTGCGACTGCTGTGATTGCTGTGATTGCTGTGATTGCGGTGTTGAGCGTGGCAGGTACGACTTCAATGTGGGGAGGGAGGACGTGCTGGGGCACCACCAGGGGGCTGTCAAGTGCGTTGAGTACTCGCATGCCACTGGTGAGACAATGGACCACTATGCATGTGTGTATGAGAGCTCACACATGGCAGACACTTGCCATGTGTCTCACACTCGCGCCTCACAGGGACAGCAGAGCAGCCCGAGCGTGGTTCATTCATGTCACTCACCTCCCATATGTACCTCAATGCTTTTGAGGGCTCTTAAAGTAGCAACTCCAACCCCCCCCTCCCCCCTTCCCTGCGCCCCCAGGCCAGCTGATAACGGGCGGGTGGGACCGCACAGTGCGCTGCTGGGACCCGCGTGCCCCTGCCTCCCACCTGCGCCTCACAGTCACGGCCGAACAACCCGAGCGATGCTACTCCATGTCTCTCGCCGCGCACCGCCTCGTGGTGGCCATGGCGGGGCGCCACGTGTCCATCTATGATTTGCGCAACATGTCGCAGCCGGAGCAGCGCCGGGAATCTTCACTGAAGTTTCAGACGCGGTGTGTGCGGTGCTACCCCACCGGCACGGGGTATGCCCTGGCGTCCGTGGAGGGGCGGGTGGCCATGGAATTCTTCGACCCTTCTGAGACAGCCCAGGCCAAGAAGTGAGTCTGGCTTTGAGTCGCCTCAAGGTGAGTGCACTGTGCGTATGAGTGGTGTGTGCGGTGCTACCCCACGGGCACGGGGTATGCACTGGCGTCCGTGGAGGGGCGCGTTGCCATGGAGTTTTTTTATCCCTCCGAGGCCGCTCAGGCCAAAAAGTGAGTGCAATAGGGCACGGAGAAGTGATTGGACTTGGCGTGCGAGCCTTGGAGGAGTGAAGGTGAACACGCACGTGTGCGTCGCTGAGTAGGGGAAGGGGTTTCTTTGCCAGGGGTGGGCGGTGTCAGGCAGCGGTGGGTGTGCTGTGTGTGAAGGAGAGAGCAGGTGCAGTGTAGCAACGAGACTAGTTGGACTGTCCTGGTGTAGAGGGTGCATGTGCTGCTGGGTGGGCCAGGGATGCTTGCCTGCTCACACTCGTCTGTGCGTACATGCACATCAGCCCGCTCGTCTCTCGTCTGCCCGCTGTGAAAATAACGAACGAGAATGAATGAACTAGCAAACAGTTGGGTACAAGTACTAACCCTAATTGGGTTGTACCCCTTATGGGCTACCCCACTACAGCCTACACAAATGTATAAGCTATAATGTTCTGACACACCCCCATAGGCAATGTGGGGGAGAACAAGTCAAGACCAGTAAAGAAAAGCAAAGCAAGCTCAGGGTGGATCACAAAGTCACCACACAGTCCGGGCACAAGCAAAGGGCCACAAAGCCAGTTCACATGCAAAGAGCGATGTGCTTTGTTCTGTGCTCCAGTCTGTGCTCCTCACACAAAGCAATCATGGCCTTGTTGTCTACGTACAGAACTGGAGGCGAACGAGGCTGCTCTCCCAAGTCGGTCAGCAGGTAGGTGAGCCAGCGTAGCTCCTGAGCAGCCATGGCCCCGGCGTAGATCTGAGCCTCACAACTGGAGCTGAGAACCGAAGACGAGCGAGTAGACCGCCAAGAAACAGAGCCGGAACCAAGGCTGAAGGTGTAACCCTGTGACGATCGCTGCGTAGCTGAGTCGTCAACCCAGGAGGCGTCTGCGTGACCGGTGAGGACAACTGGACCCCGTCCTCCAAGCACGAGCCCCATGCCCGACGTACCGCACAAGTAACGCAGTACCCTCTTCGCAGCATCCCAGTGCACCTTTCGGTGCCTGTCGGGAGCCACGTAGCGAGCCAGGAGGCTGAGAGGGTACGCGAGGTCAGGTCGTGTGCAAGTCATCAGGTACATGAGGCAACCTACAAGCTCTGGGTACGGACCACTCGGCTCTACGGACTCGTCCGAAGGTGGAGCTGAGAGCGAGTGGCTGGTAGACAGAGGAGTGGGCTGTGGCGAGAAGAACTGGAAGCCGAAGCGCTGAAAGACCTGGTGCACCATGTGTGACTGAGTCAGGGTAATGGTGCGCCGAGCTCTGTCCCGGGTGATCTGCAGGCCAAGATAGCTGCGCAGTTCACCGAGGTCAGTGCAGGTGTGTCTCTTCTGCAGCTCCGACTTCACAAGAGTCAGTGCCTCAGTGTTAGCAGCGGCAAAGACGAGGTCGTCGACGTAGACAAGGACGTAGAACAGCGGCAGCGAAGTGTCGGTGCGTAGAAACAGCGACGGGTCAGCAGTAGCAGGAGCAAACCCAAGAGCCGCAAGTGTAGTCCTCAGTGTGTCGTGCCACTCCCGAGGCGCCTGGCGGAGACCGTAGACTGGCCGCCGAAGACTCCACTGAGTGCCTGCAGGAAAAAACCCAGTGAAACCAGGTGGGCGGCGCAACCAGATCTCGTCGTGCAGGCTGCCCTGCAGGAAAGCTGTGCTGAAGTCCAGAGAGTGCAACTCGTAGTCACGCTGAGCAGCGACGTATAGCAACACCTGAAGAGTAGTCATCTTCGGGGTGGGGGAGAAGGTCTGGAAGTAGTCAACCCCCTGTCGCTGGCTGAAGCCTCGAGCAACGTAACGCGCCTTGAAGGCAGGCGGAGAACCCAATGGCCGCTTCACCCTTAAGATATACATGTCATCGACTATGTTCGCCCCATGTGAAGGAACGTCATCGACGTAGGTGCCTGCGGACTTCCAGGATGCCATCTCGGCATCCATGGCTGCCTGCCACTGAGATGAGTAAGGACCCGTAATCGCCTCTGCGTAAGAGCGCGGGGTCGGGATGTCTGGAGCATCCGGGTCTCCCTCAGGGGCAACCAGCATGGAAGCGAAACGAGGTACAGCAGCTGCAAGACACTCAAAGTCCTCCTGCCTGTCCTCAAGGACGTCCGTGCCAAGAGCACACTCACTCCGACGGACGGAGGACTGGCAGACGCAGACTCAGCAACAAGAGCAGAGGCGTAGTCTAGACGACAGGCAGCAGCAAAGTCAACCAGCTCAGCAACGAGGGCAGACACAGCAGTGGACTCAAAAGAAGGGTCAGTGACAATAGTGGCGAGGAGACGAGAGACAATGGGACTGGCAGCACGAGCAAGGTTAGATTGAGGGTCAGAGACGGCAGGAAGAGAGGACTCTGGAGGAGCTGGCAGAGGAACACGGAGAGGAATAGAGGAAGGACGAAGTGTCATAGTGTGCGTGCCAGGGACAGGAGGAGGACGCGAACGAGGAACGCGACGAGCAGTGCGAACAGGCGAGATAGGACGAGACGGAGGCTCACGACGCTCTGTAAGACCGCCGGACTGCTCAGTGTAAGGAGAGGGGTCAGCCAGTCTGACCGGGACAGGTGCAGGAAAAGGAGTGAGGGTGGTGCTGTCACGAAAGAAACAGCGCGAGGCGCCGGAGTCCAACGTGAAAGTGTGCAAGGCCTCAGCAGGCGCAGTACCAGGGAGAGTACCAGACTCACTAGCACCTAGAGCAGCAGCGGCTATACCTTGGTCAGGCGGCACACACCGGTAACAGTCACCCTCAGCACTAACAGACAAAGCATACATAGCAAACAGAATAGCATCTAAGTCTAGGTCAAAGATAGCAATCCTAGACTTAAACAGATCTGCCCAGCGAGGGAGCTCGACGTCGTCACCAAAGTCAGCACGCCAAGCGTCGTCGAGGCGGGAGAAGCAGCGGTGCTGAGTGTGGAGCCGCCCGCAAGTCTGACCAGCACGGTCACCCGTGCGAATGACATACTGGCAACTACCCCCAGACGCCCCACGCAGAAACCACTCACAAAGCTGCTGGGGAGACGGGGTCTCGCTTCGACGCTGCTGCTGCTGACGCTGGCCACCCCCAAAACCGACACGCCGAGCGCCAGTCCCACCGTTACCAGTCCCACTGCCTCCACTGCCGCCACTCCCACCGCTGCCTCCACCACCGCCATCAGAGCCTCCACTCCCGCCAACAGTCCCACCGCCGCCACCACCTCCACTGCTGCCCCCACCACCACTCCCGCTGCCACCTCCACCACCGCCGCTGCCACCTCCACTACCCCGGCCACCCTTGCCCTTGGTGCTGCGGCGCTTCGCACTAGCAGAAGCAGCCCCGACATCCTCAGCAACAGAGACGTCTGCAGCAGCAGCAAAGGCGTAGGAGGGGGCAAGGGGGGAGGGGGAACACCCCTCAAAGAAGGGCGGGCGCGGAGTGCCACGAGCAGCACCTACAGCAACTGCACTAGTCTCAGCTGCGAGGAGATGCTGCTCGAGGTGGTCAACAGTGAGGAAGGTGGGGTCAAGAGAGAGGAAGTGGTCCTTGACAGAGCGAAGAGAGTCAGAGAGGCGGGTGACTATAAAGTAGAGAGTGATGTACATCGGGGGCGGGTTCCTGTCAAGGAACTCAGCAGGGGCGGCAGCGCGGTAGCGAGCGTCACTAGCGCGAAGGTGGGAAACCAGGTCTTCGACTGTGGTAAAGGCGGACAACTCGGAGAACAGGTAGGGCAGAAAGAGGCAGCCTAGAGTAGCAGTGGCAGGGGAGGAGTAGCGAGCGTGACAGTGGGGCAAGGGGCCGACGGGGCCGGGCGCGGGCTAGGGACGGGGCCGGGCGCGGGCTAGGTACAGGGCCGGGCGCGGGTAGGTACGGGGCCGGGCACTGGGCTAGGGACGGGGCCGGGTGCTAGGCTAGGGACGGGGCCGGGCGCTAGGCTAGGTACGGGGCCGGGCGCGGGCTAGGGACGGGGCCGGGCGCGGGCGTGGTACGGGGCCGGGCGCGGGCAGGTACGGGGCCGGGCGCTGGGCAGGTACGGGGCCGGGCGCTGGGCGCGGAACGGGGCCGGGCGCTGGGCTAGGTATGGGGCCGGGCGCGGGCTAGGTAATGGGCCGGGCGCGGGCTAGGTACGGGGCCGATCGTTGGGCAGGAACGGGGCCGGGCGCTGGGCGCGGAACGGGGCTGAGCGCGGGGCTAGGTACGGGGCCGGGCGCGGGCTAGGTACGGGGCCGGGCGCGGGCTAGGTACGGGGCCGGTCGCTGGGCAGGAACGGGGCCGGGTGCTAGGCGCGGAACGGGGCCGGGCGCGGGGCTAGGTACAGGGCCGGGCGCGGGCTAGGGACGGGGCCGGGCGCGGGCTAGAAACGAGGCCAGGCGCGGGCTAGGGACGGGGTCGGGCGCTAGGGTCAACGGGCCGCGGGCTAGGGACGGGGCCGGGCGCGGGCTAGGTACGGGGCCGTGCGCGGGCTAGGGACGGGGCCGGGCGCGGGCTAGGTACGAGACCGGGCGCGGGGCTAAAGGCCGACGGGGCCGGGCGCGGGCTAGGAACGGGGCCGGGTGCGGGCTAGGAACAGGGCCGGGCGCGGGCTAGGGACGGGGCCGGGCGCTGGGGTCGACGGGCCGCGGGCTAGGGGTCGACGGGCCGCGTAGGCTAGGGGCGACGGGCCTAGGGGGGGTATTAGCAGCGTAGCAGGTGGTGGGCCCAAGGAACCTGCTCTGATTCCATGTGAAAATAACGAACGAGAATGAATGACCTAGCAAACAGTTGGGTACAAGTACTAACCCTAATTGGGTTGTACCCCTTTTGGGCTACTCCACTACAGCCTACACAAATGTATAAGCTATAATGTTCTGACACCCGCTCTTCCATTTGCTTATCTATTCATTCCTTGGTCGGCTTGGCCTGAGATCATGCTGGGTTGTTGGATGCATGCTTGAATGGATGTGTGTGTGCATGTGCATGTGTGCATGTGTGCATGTGCATGTGTGTGTGCATGTGCATGTGCATGAGCAGGTATGCATTCAAGTGTCATCGGAGGTCAGAGGGAGGGAGGGACACGGTCTTCCCAGTCAACGCCATCGCCTTCCATCCAATGTCCGCCTTCCCTTCCTCCCCTCCCCTCCACCGCCCTCGCCTTGCCTCACCTCGCCTCGCTCGCATTATTAGCGCTGATCCATGCCACTGTTGCCTTGCCTTCCCCTCCTGCTAAGCATCCATGTCATGCCGTGTCATGCCATGCAAAGTCATGTTACACCACACCACGCCACGCCATGCCGCACCTGGCCACGCTACACCACGTCATGCCACGCCACGCCACGCCATGCCACGCCTTGCCACACCACGCCATGCCACCCCATGTCATGCCACGACATTCCATTCCACGCCATGCCATGCCACACCACACCATGCCACACCATGCCACAACACGCCATACCATGCCATGCTATGCCATGCCACGCCATGCCATACCATGCCATGCTATGCCATGCCACGCCATGCCATGCCATGCCATGCCATGCCATGCCATGCCATGCCATGCCATGCCACACCATGCCACTCCACTCCATGCCACACGACACGATGCCATGCCATGCCATGCCATCCCATGCCATGCCACACCACGCCATGCCATGCCACGCCATGCCACACCATGCCATGCCACACCACGCTTGCCATGCCACACCATGGCACACCACGCTTGCCATGCCACACCATGCCATGCCATGCCACCCCATGTCATGCCATGCCATTCCATTCCACGCCATGCCATGCCACACCACGCCATGCCACGCCATGCCACACCACGCCACTCTATGCCACACCACGTCACTCCATGCCATGCCATGCCATGCCACCCAATGTCATGCCACACCATGGCACACCATGCCATGCCATCCACGCCATGCCATCCACGCCATGCTATGCCATGCCATGCCACGCCACTCCATGCCACACCACGCTATGCCATGCAATGCCATGCCACACCACACCATGGCACACCATGGCACACCATGGCACACCATGGCACACCATGGCACACCATGGCATGCCGTGCCACACCACACCATGGCATGCCGTGCCACACCACACCATGGCATGCCGTGCCACCCCACACCATGGCATGCCGTTCCACATCACACCATGGCATGCCGTGCCACACCACACCATGGCATGCCGTGCCACACCACACCATGGCATGCCGTGCCACACCACACCATGGCATGCCGTGCCACACCACACCATGGCATGCCGTGCCACACCACACCATGGCATGCCGTGCCACACCACACCATGGCATGCCGTGCTACACCACACCATGGCATGCCGTGCCACACCACACCATGGCATGCCGTGCCACACCACACCATGGCATGCCGTGCCACACCACACCATGGCATGCCGTGCCACACCACACCATGGCATGCCGTACTACACCACACCATGGCATGCCGTGCTACACCACACCATGGCATGCCGTGCCACACCACACCATGGCATGCCGTGCCACACCACACCATGGCATGCCGTGCCACACCACACCATGGCATGCCGTGCCACACCACACCATGGCATGCCGTGCCACACCACACCATGGCATGCCGTGCCACACCACACCATGGCATGCCGTGCCACACCACACCATGGCATGCCGTGCCACACCACACCATGGCATGCCGTGCCACACCACACCATGGCATGCCGTGCCACACCACACCATGGCATGCCGTGCCACACCACACCATGGCTTGCTCAACGTTGTCCTCACGCCTCTCCTTGCCTGCTTCCCTCCACCGGCACCACGGCAGATACGGCACGTTCGCCACAGGGGGATGTGACGGGGTGGTGAACATCTGGGATGGCAACAACAAGAAGCGCCTCTACCAGGTGCCTGAAACCCTCTACCAGGTGCCTGTACCCCTCTACCAGGTGCCTGTACCCCTCTACCAGGTGCCTGTACCCCTCTACCAGGTGCCTGTACCCCTCTACCAGGTGCCTGTACCCCTCTACCAGGTGCCTGTACCCCTCTACCAGGTGCCTGTACCCCTCTACCAGGTGCCTGTACCCCTCTACCAGGTGCCTGTACCCCTCTACCAGGTGCCTGTACCCCTCTACCAGGTGCCTGTACCCCTCTACCAGGTGCCTGTACCCCTCTACCAGGTGCCTGTACCCCTCTACCAGGTGCCTCCCCATCATCCCACCCCCTCGCCCCTCCCCCGCGCCCCTCCTCTGCGCCCCTCCCCATCGCCCCTTTCCATCGCCCCAACCCCTCGCCCCTCCCCCTCCCCCTCGCCCTTCCCCCATGCCCCTCCCCCGTGCCCCTCCCCCGCGCCCCTCCCCCGCGGCCCACCTCTCCGGCCTCTACATGCACTCTCTGCCACTGCTGCAGCAACTGAATGCTGCTCCAGTGGAGAGCCGAGGCCGCCACTTCGCCCACCCTGCATGCGCCGCAGCAATCTGTGGTCCTTAAGTACTGCCACACCAGCACGGTTGCTTCTCACCGCATCGCCTCATCACTCTCTCGTTCTTGTGTCTCCCTCCCTCTCCCGCTTTTGCTCGCCCCCATGCTGCCCCTCATGCAACCATGGCAACGCGTGCCGCCTACACACCCTCGCACCTCAACGCCCATGCACCCATGCACCCACCCATCCCCTCGCGACCCCTGGCAGTACGCCAAGTACCCCACGAGCATCGCAGCGCTCTCCTTCTCACGTGATGGCCGCCTGCTGGCCGTGGCAGCCAGCTACACCTTCGAGATGGGCGACATCCCGTGAGTGCCGCCCCTCCTCTCACTGCCCCCCTGCCCTCACTGACCCCCTGCCCTCACTGCCCCCCTGCTCTCTCTGCCCCCCTGCCCACACTGCCCCCCTGCTCTCTCTGCCCCCCTGCTCTCTCTGCCCCCCTGCTCTCTCTGCCCCCCTGCTCTCTCTGCCCCCCTGCTCTCTCTGCCATGCTGCTCTCTCTGCCATGCTGCTCTCTCTGCCATGCTGCAGTTATTGCACTGCATGGCAGTTTGTTGTGTGTGGCACCCCTTTCCATGCTGTGCGTTGCATATATGCTCCATGATGCTCTTTCTCCTCATTTCCCCTGGCCATTTGTTTCCTGCCCTGTGCTGTCACATGCCGCGCCATGCTTATTTGTGTTCACCTGTGATGCACTGTGGTTCCCCGGGCTGCCATGCTGCCCACTTGACAGGCACGAGAGGGACGCCATTCACATTCGCAACGTGAACGATGCAGAAGTCAAGCCCAAGCCCAAGGCCTACAGCACTGCCACGTAGGCGCAGGCAGCACTGCCACGTAGGCACAGGCAGCACTGCCACGTAGGCACAGGCAGCGCATCAAGCTCCTCCTCTTCTGAGTCTCGACCCAACTACTCGCCCCTCCCAAGGCATGAGGGCAGAGCAGAGTGTTTGGCAGCGCCGCTTGTCACCTTCCTAGGATTCGTCCATGTGTTGTGCCGCATTCTAGATCGGCGACTTGTAGCATGTGCGCGGAGCACACGTAGAGTTCCTCCTGGCTTCACTCAAAAGCGCAACAGCATGGCATTTCTAGCATTGCATTTAATTGTTTGCTCTCCCTTGTTTTTGTTGCAGTTGTTTTTTTTCTTCTGAGGTCCGACTTATTGTGTACCTTTCTCAGATGTTTAAAGTTCTCTACTGTATGAGATTGCCCTTATCAACGACAAGATCAGACAAGTCTGGTAAAAAGGGATGGTGCAGTCACGGCTGCTGGTGACATTCATCAACCCAGATCAGTTGCTAGTTCAATCACCCGGCACGGATACAAAAGCTGGGGTAATCTACTAGTATCTGCTGTCACCCCCCTCATAACTCTTTCGTAGACTTTCGTGAATTGGTGGCATGGACGCACAAACGCCACGGCCAAGCGAAGTTCAAAACTGACCCACCTTCGTGCCTCCCGCATTTCTGACCATCTGGGCAGGTGCATCACGGCGTGACACGGCTCCAGCCAAATGTGTGGCTCCGCACACATCTGAGCTGGTGGTGGGCACAAAACCACAACTCCCTCCCCCAAAACAGCATCAGCATTTCAACAGCTTCATAGCTACTCGACAACCATTCCTTCTACCAATAACTCCTGCAATTCGTGAGACAACAGTCAGCAATCAACCGTTCGGCACTGCTACAAGCAACACCCTCACGCAACCATTTGGATTTTACCATGAGGTCGCGTTACGGCCACGATCAAATTGTGAAACTGCTGCTCCTAGGCGCTTTTGTGCTGGCCGCACAGCCATCCAGTGCAGGCCGCGAATAAGTTTGGCGCAACCTGAACCGCTCATGGCGGAACGGCGGCGAGAATGCTCACCTTGCGGCGCCCTCTCACGACAACTCCGGCGAATTTTCGACGCCAACAGCTGACGGTTCCGCCGTCTACATCGTTCGCTTGAATGCCGCGCCTCCCCTTTGCGAATACCGCGGCGGAATTGCGGGCTACCCTGCCACGGCCACGTGGGACGACGGCAGCGACGAGGAGGACAGTGATGCCGTGCCGCAGATGATTCTCCCCGCCGAAGATACCGCCGCCGCCGCAGGCGGCGAAACCGTCGATCTGGACGACACCGACGGCGACCAGCTTCTCTCAAACGCATCGGCGCCATCCCTGCCCGCAAACGGCACATCTGACGCCGCTGCCACTCCCAGCGCTCGCGGCGGTCGCGGTGGCAGTGGTAACGGTAACGGAGTTCGTAACGGTGGCGGCGGTTTCCCGCGGCACCGGCTGAGTCTGAGCATGGACCGCCCCCAGGTGGCAGCGTTCGCGGGGCTGCTGCAGCGGCAGCAGGCGCAGGTGGCATCTGAAGCGGGCGTACCCGAGGACGGGCTGCTCATCGCGGAAAAGACAAGTTCCGAAAGTGACGTAATTGTGACCTTTCCGTCACTTTAACGTATACGGAATTCTGGGATAAAAATGTGATGGTTGGAAGTACCGGGGTTCTCGTCACATAGAAAGTGACGGAAAGGTCACGAAAATGTCACATTGAAATCACAATGATGTCACTTTCAAAGTGACGCAAATGTTACGGCTATGTCACGTGCACGTCACGCGTTCGTAACCCCGCTGGATGCCAATGTGCGATCCGCCAAATGTCACAATTTGTATGCTTTTACGTCGACCCGACATCTGGCGAGCATTACGTCATCGTGTCGACCATCAAGTTTCAACAGTCTACAGTACTGTGCGATTCGAAGCATCGCCCCTCTCAATAACCTGCCTGCCCGTGAACGACGAGGATCAACACAACATTGTATCCGCGCCCTTCATTTTCAGAGTTCGTGCCCAATGCCGCTGCACCATGTGTGACACACGCTTGCGCCTTATTCGTTGAAATTCCAGTCTGCATCTGGCTGACCCCTTACGTGTACGCGCCAGATGACGTTGAAATATGACCACGTGTACAGTTGTAATTTTACATTTGACCCTTGTTCTACCCATGCATATCGATATCCCATCGTCCACGCCTGGGTGCATCGACGATACTGCACCACCCACGCCCCCATCCCACGTTGAATTATGCAACGTGTTCATCCAGGATGCCGTTGACAGTCACTGACCTGTACGGCCTAAATCATATGACACACGGATTTGTCCTCCACCTGGCATGCATCTTACCGTCCACAATTCCACACATCGACGACACTCGTCGCACCGCGGTTCCTCCATCTACGGCTGTAAACGTTCGTCACACCCAGACGGATGCCATCATCTCACGGCATCCAACGGCGCTAGGTCGAGCAGCCAATTCAGATCGGAGGATTCCTTTTGGACGTTACGCATCCCTAGCGGTAGGCATTCCGCGGTATGGTTCTTGGGGTTATGAACACTCTTCTCAACATGCACTTGGATTTGTGTACGTGATGAGTTTGAGCGAGAGTATCTGACTATTTCCGATAGTGCTTCTTATATCCCGCTTCAATTACATATTCTCTCTACTCACTCCATAAGCAACCTCTTCGCCCAGACTCTAACCCCCCCACGTAAGGCAAATTAACTCTTCAAGGAAGAGTTCGTGTTAGTGAGCGTCATGGCGCAGACTAACGGCTCGGCGAGCCCCGTGGTTAGTTATGCCTGCGGAGTCCCAAGGCTGGCGCTTGCTTGGGCGCTCGCGGTCCTCCCGCCAGCTATGCCGTCCGTAGAGATGCGGAGACCATGGCGGCCCCAGGCCCACGTATGAGACGCCGCATCGTACTCGGGCCTGAACTCAGCGATGGCCCGGGTAACAACACTCTTCACAAGGACGTGGATGCCGTCCACGATTTGCGCGTTACATCCTGCGGAGTTTGATAGGCGGCCCTTGCGCGCCTCCCAGTTCCGGATTGCATCTGTCACCTGCGCACAGCACCGCACAAAAGCACGCATATGAGAATTCCAAAGGCTGGGAAACCATACCATTTTAATACTCTGGTGAGTCTTCTTACCACGTGATCCAGCCCGGCCACGTGGTACAGCTTCAGCGTCACTGTCCCGTTCATCATCCTTGGCCTGAACGCCGTTCGTGCGCATGCGGTAAATGCGCCAGACGCGAAGGGAATCCCGTTACGGTCGTAATTCCAGCGGGAGAGTGCAAGCCTCTCAGCAACATTCATCACACACGACATGTGCACGCATTAGACACGAGGCTTTCTCCATTATTCAGTGTGAAAGCGTTAAAATTACTCCCAATGATTGTACCCGCGTCGACGTCTCCGAGGCCGACCCTACCCCGGACCCTCGTCAGTGTACGCATAGAGGGTGCCGCCCAAGGGCTTTTTGCGTCACGCTCATCGCAAAACAACCCTAGCTTAGGGAGCGAGATGTCGCAGACCCTCCCAGCAACACCCGTCTTCCAGTCGCTGAGAGACCTGTTGAAGTCGACCCGACGTGCCTTGTCAGCCGTGAGTGCAAGGCTTGCGTAGTTGACAAAGAGGTTATCAACGTCTGCGCATATGTGTGAGATTAGTAGGCGAGGATGATCGACTAGGAAAAGGGAAGGGGTACAAGTAGAATGTCGAGAGAAATTGTGTACCCCCTAAGGCTAAACCCACTATAGAATAGACAACTGTAAACACATAAACTAAGCCTAGATATAACTAAGCATATATGTTTGACACACCCCCATAGGCGAAGTGGGGGATAGCCAGAACAAGCAATGGTCACAAGACCAGTCAAGAGAAGAAGCAAAGCAAAGCAAGCTCAGGGTGGATCACAAAGTCACCACACAGTCCGAGCACAAGCAAAGGGCCACAAGGCCAGTTCACATGTAGAGTAATAAAAAGAGAACAAACAATACAGTGATCATACCCTAACAAGTGCAAACATGCAGGTATATAGATAGATCACACTACAGGCAGAGTCAGGCAGTAAATAAGTGAGGCAAGGTAGGCACAAGGCCTAACACAGTAACAAAGCGCTGATGGTCACCAGGCAGAAGTGCCTTGGTGAAGACATCAGCAGTGTTGGCCCGAGTGGCCACGTACGCTAGACGAAGCTGACCACGCTGCTGCAACTCTCGAGCAAGGAAGTATCGCAGAGCGATGTGCTTCGTTCTGTGCTCCAGTCTGTGCTCCTGACACAAGGCTATCATGGCCTTGTTGTCTACGTATAGGACTGGAGGCGAACGAGGCTGCTCTCCCAAGTCGGTCAGCAAGTAGGTGAGCCAGCGTAGCTCCTGAGCAGCCATGGCTCCGGCGTAGATCTCAGCCTCACAGCTGGAGCTGAGAACTGAAGACGAGTGGGTAGACCGCCAAGAAACCGAGCCGGAACCAAGGCTGAAGGTGTAACCCTGTGACGACCGCTGCGTAGCTGAGTCGTCAACCCAAGAAGCGTCTGCATGACCGGTGAGGACAACTGGACCCCGTCCTCCAAGCACGAGCCCCATGCCTGACGTACTGCACAAGTAACGCAGTACCCTCTTCGCAGCATCCCAGTGCGCCTTTCGGTGCCTGCCGGGAGCCACGTAACAAGCCAGGAGGCTGAGAGGGTACGCGAGGTCGGGTCGAGTGCACGTCATCAGGTACATGAGGCAACCCACAAGCTCTGGGTACGGACCACTCGGCTCTACGGACTCGTCCGAAGGTGGAGCTGAGAGCGAGTGGCTGGTAGACAGAGGAGTGAGCTGTGGCGAGGAGTACTGGAAGCCGAAGCGCTGAAGGACCTGGTGCACCATGTGTGACTGAGTCAGTGTGATGGTGCGCCGTGCTCTGTCCCGGGTGATCTGCAGGCCAAGGTAGCTGCGCAGTTCACCCAGGTCAGTGCAGGTATGTCTCTTCTGCAGCTCGGACTTCACTAGGGTCAGTGCCTCAGTGTCAGCCGTGGCAAAGACGAGGTCGTCGACGTACACTAGGACGTAGAAGGGCGGCAGCGAGGTGTCAGTGCGTAGAAACAGCGACGGGTCTGCTGTAGAAGGAACAAACCCAAGAGCCGCAAGTGTAGTCCTGAGTGTGTCGTACCACTCGCGAGGCGCCTGGCGGAGACCGTAGACTGGCCGGCGGAGGCTCCACTGGGTACCTGTAGGAAACGACCCAGTGAAACCAGGTGGTCGGCGCAGCCAGATCTCCTCGTGCAGGCTGCCCTGCAGGAAAGCAGTACTGAAGTCCAGGGAGTGTAACTCGTAGTCACGCTGAGCAGCTACGTGCAGCAACACCCGAAGAGTAGTCATCTTCGGGGTGGGGGAGAAGGTCTGGAAGTAGTCAACTCCCTGTCTCTGACTGAAACCTCGAGCAACGTAGCGTGCCTTGAAGGCAGGCGGAGAACCCGGCGGCCGCTTCACCCTGAAGATCCACATGCCATCAACTATGTTCACCCCAGGTGGGGGAACCTCGTCGACGTAAGTGCCTGTGGACTTCCAGGATGCCATCTCGGCATCCATTGCTGCCTGCCACTGAGAGGAGTAAGGACCCGTAATCGCCTCTGCGTAAGAGCGCGGGGTCGGGATATCTGGAGCATCCGGGTCTCCCTCAGGGGCAAGCACCAGGGAGGCGAAACGAGGTACGGCAGCTGCAAGACACTCAAAGTCCTCCTGCCTGTCCTCAAGGACGTCCGTGCCAAGAGCACACTCACCCCCGACGGACGGAGGGCTGGCAGGCACAGACTCAGCAACTAGAGCAGAGGCGTAGTCGAGACGGCAGGCAGCAGCAAAGTCAAGTAGCTCAGCAACGAGAGCAGAAGCAGCAGCAGACTCAAAGGACAGGTCAGTGACAGCAGTGGCAAGGAGACGAGCGACAGTGGGACTGGCAGCACGCGCTCGGTCAGACTCAGGGTCAGGGACCGCAGGAAGAGAGGACTCAGGAGGAGCAGGCAGAGGAACACGCAGTGGAACAGAGGAAGGACGAAGTGCCATGGTGTGTGTGCCTGGGACAGGAGGAGGACGCGAACGAGGAGCACAACGAGCAGTGCGAACAGGCAAGACAGGACGAGACGCAGGCTCACGACGCTCTGTAAGACCTCCGGACTGCTCAGTGTAAGGAGAGGGAACAGGCAGTGGGGAGGCTGGCTGTAACGGCGACTGCGACTGGTCAGGCGGTGGACACAGGAAGGGAGGAGGAAGACCAGTAGAAGACGGGACACCAAGAACCTGCTGAAGCAGGGGAACGAAGTACGGACGCGGCCGCACAGTGCCTCCAGCACCTCCAGCACCAGGGTCAACAGCTCCAGCTCCTGCACCTCCAGCGCCTCCTGCGCCAGGGCCTCCAACTCCAGCTGTAACAGCATTACCTCCAGCTTCAGCGCCTCCAGGCTCGCCAGCTCCGGGAGACCCACTCCGACGGTGTGCGCGCTGAACAAGCCACTCACGCAGCTGCTGCGAGGACAGTCGCGGTGAAGCACCAGCAGGACCTCCAGACGAAGCAGCACCCCAAGGCTCAGCACCCCCAGACTCCACACCCTCCGACTCAGCACCCTCAGGCTCC